CTTTTAAACCCCCCCTTTTTTTTTTTACTGGCTTTTAACCCAGCATGACACCTCGCTCAGTTTTAGTTGTTTTTATTTGCTCTATGCCGTTTTTATTGTTCGTGTGTTTTGTTGTCTTTATGACCCCTCCATGTACAGCACTTTGTTTCGGCTGTGGCTGCTCTAAAATAAAGTTGATTTGATTTGATCTGATACAAATAAAATCAAAATCTCTCCAATTCAGGGTGCTCTGGTCGCTCAACAGGTTGAGTGGGCGACCCATTTATAGGGGTCCCTGATGTGCTGCATGCCCTTCCCCATTGTACTCCCCACCCTTCCTATCTATCTTCACTTACCCCTGAAATACAGGCCTAAAAGCCCAAATAATAATAATAATAACATTTAAAAAACCTCTCCAATTTAAATGAAAAGAAAAGTGTATCAAATGTCATATTGCTGAGTCAACATCTAAACCAATTAGCTGTTAGTTAGGTTAAAGGCATTTTCCATCATGCTCTAAAGCACTTATGTCAAACTCAAGGCCCGTGGGCCAAATACGGCCCGTCAAGTCATTTTATGTGGCCCAGGAGAGATGCTACTTTCCTAATCTGATAAATAAAGATAGTAATAATCTGCCACCAAAACGTTCTCAGATGGGACCATTTCTGAGCGTGTGCGAGCTAAAGTTCCACGTGGTCGCATTGTGCAAGTGAATGATGATCATCACATTGATCTGGTTCCTTCTGTCAGCACAGGTAGCTGCTGCTCCAGTGACTGTGGTTGGAAACAGTCATTTTTCTTCCACATTGGACTCAGCCTCTCACTGCCTGACGGATAAAAGTCAGTTTCACTGTTACTGTGTTCCAATGACAAAACGATAGATAGCCGACCACGTTAAAAAAAAATTTAAAAAGTTGAGGTGAGAGAGGGAGAGGTCCACACACCTGAATGAAAGTGTTCAGGTGCAGGCAGACAGATCTCGACTGAGTCAGTAAGGAACAAAAAGTAGCCCCACATTCGATCTGGAAGGTTCAAACTTTAACAGCAATCACAGTTCTGACTCTATAAACTGATGGCCAGTGGTCTGGACATTTAAAATACACTCAGCTCGAAGAAAAGTCTGTTCATTAAAAAATAAAAAAATAAAAAAAAAACGAAAACAAAAAAACCCTCTGCTAATAGAAAACTTTTCAACTTGAGCAAATTTGTGTAGAACGCGTTTTCACTGTTTTCCAACAAATGTTTGGTTGCTCACCTGTCACAGACGCTGCACTGCAGCCACCTGGTAGCATCTACCGGAATAGCATGTGAGGCGTTTAGAGCACATCGGTAAAATGTACCATCAACTCATACGCATGTTCGGCAAGTGTTTAGCCTGTGTCCAGTTAATGACTGATATCAGAAAAGGAGTGGTGACAAAATAAATATATTTTCAGGTTGAACATTTTACAAATATCAAGTCTTGTATCACTATATCACAGCCCTGCTACATGTATTTTACTTTTAGGTAAAGGCATGCCCAATAGTTGTACATAGAATAAATAACAATCAAATGCAGAGACAATTATTTAACAATATGTTAAGGAGTCATTATATTTATACAGTTTTACAATTACAACTGGCGCTTTGAGGGTAAACATAATGCTTATTTGGCCCGGGATAAAAATGAGTTTGACACTCCTGCGCTAAAGCCATGCAGTCACCGGAGAGCCATAGCTTGAATCACTGCAGTCTCTATGACCTCATGGCACGAGCACTGCTTGGGTCATTGTGACATCAAAGCCAGTGTGAATTGGATCAGACACAAATCTAACCAACATGCATTGTGTCATGATTGCCAGTGATCACTTCTGTGCAGCTGCCCTATCTTGAACGAGCCAAGTGACAGAGAGCCATGACACTTGGCACACAGCTAATTGTTGTACTGGTTTTGAATTGTTAAGATATAAATCGGACCTACGTTAAGTTGGGAAAAGTAGTATTTGCTTTTTTACCTTTTCTGTCGTCTAGTTGGACGGCTTTACACGGCCAGACCTACTGAGTGGTAGATCTTACGAGGAGCACTTAAATGCATCACAGGGCACAAGCTCAGTCATGTGACACGTGCGTTTCGCGCAGCCGCGATAGTGAATGAAACCAAACTTGGCAGTGCAGTGGTTCTGGTAACGTTCTCCCAGAAACATGTGGAAGATACTAGCTTTTTTCACCCTAACAGTAACCCTGGTTCCTACTGACAGTCTGCCGAAGTCTTATTTTCAGGTAACGTTTTAGTTTTTCATTTAAGTGTTATTGTTTTTCTGGGGTGTCACGTCGGAGGAACCATTTAGCTTTCGTGTTCCTCTTCTCATTACTTGTCAGCGTTATGTGTTGATCGTTCAAACGGGATTTGAAGTGTAAGTTTGAACCATACGAAAATACTGTCATATGTTGTGTTTGTATAAGCCGAATTAAAGAATGGAAACTTAGCAGTAGCCACATAATAGTTGCATAATAATCTGTCATTGCGTTTAGGATTTTCAAAACATAATGTATTATTATATTTGTTGTTTCTTGGATAGAATTTGATTTGACTTAATTTGTGGAGATTTTCTTCAGTTGAAAGAAAAAATGTTAAATGAAATCAAATATCACTGCCATTCAGTATAACATGTGTTTTATATTTCTTTCATTTAACAGTCCAGCAAACATCATGGCGTCAAGGCAGATCCCCAGTTCACAGAGAAGTATTTCAGTCAGACAGTGGACCACTTCAACTTTAACAGCATGGGAAATGGAACCTTCAATCAGCGTTACCTGATCACAGGTGAAAGTAGTTTCATTAGCGTTATTAATGTAAGAAAGGTTGCAGCAAATGATTGAGTATGTTCTGTTTTTCTTTCATTTTAGACAAATACTGGAAGAAAGGCTATGGTCCGATCTTCTTCTACACCGGTAATGAGGGAGACATCTGGGAATTTGCTCTGAACTCCGGCTTTATCACAGAGTTAGCTGCTCAGCAGGGTGCACTGGTCATTTTTGCTGAACATGTAAGAAAACACGATACAACTCATGAAACAGCCCCTTAAAATGCAGACGTTTATGGCTGAGGAGACTTTGTGCATAATGTGACAAAAGGAAATCGGAAAATGGATGGTTAAAGTTAGACTCGGATTGTGAGCTTATTTTCATGCCCCACATTCCTCCAAATTTTAGAGGCAGTTTTGTTTACACTGCAAACCACCTTTACAAAAACCTAGTGAGCTGGCATAAATATTCTTTTTAGCTGCTCTTGCTGAAAGTGTTGTCTCTCTCTATCCTTCTTTTTAAACTTTAAACGTCCAAATTGTTCAATTGGATTCAAGTCTGGCAACCTGTTGTGATCACAGTTTTTTTCTGTTTAGCAACTCTTGTGTGATTTTGGCAGTGTGCTCTGGATGGCTGTCTTGGTGGAACGTTACTGTTCTGATAAGCTTCTGCAGACTGGGAGTCATTTTTCAGGCAGTATTTGGATATGTTCACAGGTGTTAATGGTCTATGCTCCACTGGTGGGACTATGTATGAGCTGTGATAGTGTTGGCCAGGTTCATACCAAACTCCATCTGAGATAAACAAATTCATCTCGGTCTCATTTCACCACACAATAGGATCTCAATATTCATCTGGCTTTTTTCATGTTCGATAGCAAAGTTTCATTGATGTTTTGTTTGCAAGCAAGAGCAAGCCATGTTTTCATTGTAGTCCTTTTAAATTGCTTTGAATCATCATAAGAGGAAATGCTATCCTTGTCAACTTAGAAATAATGCAATAGCAAATTGTCCATTTGTTGGGGACTATTTTCAACAGGTGATTGCCTTTGGTGCCCTAAAAGGTGCCACGTTAGGGCTTAATTGTGCCATTTTATTAGTTTTTGGACATCTATCAAGCCCTGACACACACACTGCACTTGCTATTAGGATCAACTCATTGTTCATTCAGGTCTGCAGAAGTAATTCGTTGGCAAGAAAGATAATACAACATTTTTCAGCAGACATATAATTTAAATGCAATCCTGTTTATTTCTCTGCTGCACATCCACTCTGACATGTACATGTACTGTCTTCAGTTCATCAGGTGTATCCAATCAGAAATGTGTATCTGGTGATGAGTTTGCTTGTTCACTTTGTCTTTTATCAGCTGTGGCTCAGGTAGTAGAGTGGTTGTCCTCTGATCGCCAGGTTAGTGGTCTGATCCCCCACCCCTCCACAGCGTCCTTGGGCAAGACACTGGAGCCGATGTTGCTCCCAGTGGCAGCTCTGTCACCGTTGGTGTATGAATGTGTGTGTGAATGGGTGAATGAGAAAACACTGTAAAGCGCTTTGAGTACCTTAAGGGTAGAAAAGCGCTATATGAGTGCAGACCATTTACCATTTTGTCAAGTTTAAAGGTTTTTCCAGTTTAATTAGAAAATGTGTAGATCCTTATTCAGTTTAATTGCTCAAAGGTACTATTGCACTAAAACGGTCATAATAGATTGATGATAATAGAATAATTTGGATCCTTTCCTGAATACTGAATCTGGCACCTCTGACCCTGTCTGAATTTGTTTTAAATGTCACATCTTTATTCCCCTATGTCTCTCTTACAGAGGTACTATGGCGCATCTCTGCCATTTGGCAACGATTCCTTCAATATTCCTCAGGTCGGCCTGCTGACAGTGGAGCAGGCCCTTGCCGACTATGCTGTCATGATCACTGAGCTTAAACAGCAGCTGCAAGCCACAGACTGTCCCGTCATAGTGTTTGGTGGCAGGTAGGATTCACCTTATCAACACCGATTTGTGTCATCCACTTGTTTCATTTGCTGAGTTCTGCAGAGGATAGATAGATAGATAGATAGATAGATAGATAGATAGATAGATAGATACTTTATCCCCTTGAGAAATTCAAGAAACAAAGCTACATAGACTGGCTGCCACACAGAGCAGAGCACCAAATGCATTTTTACCTCTTAAATCACTGATCAATCCAAACTCTAGTTGTTCTCTAAGCTTGTAGATATGATTTTGTTTTTTGTGCGCCCTTCAAAAAATCTTATTTTTATTATTTAAATTATTTTACATATTTTTAGTAAGCAGGTTTAGACCAATCTGGCTATAGTTTTAGCTAGAAAGTTTTTGTTTATACCGTTTTAGACTAGTTTAGATTCCACTGTATGATCATTTAAAATCCAAATGGAACACAGGACACAGAAATAACAGTGGCATATACATATAATACTTGCATGAAAATGACAAATGAAACACAGTACAATTGCAATAAAAATTGAGGAACACGTTCATCTGTCCACTCAGCAACTCTGCAAGACTGAAGAGTTGGTTCACTGTTCTATGGCCACGACAGAATATGCATTGCTCCACCTAAATTTGAGTTTCAACAATCAGTCAGAGCCACCTTTTCAGCACTCTGGAATAAACTTCCTTGGGGAGACTGAGCAGTGTGATACAGAAATAGTTGGAGCACGCTCTCCAGTTCCCCTTTTTAAAAATGGGCACCACCATCCTGGTCTGCAATTCAGCACAACATTGAAAAGACGTGTCAGCCAGGAAATGCATTTTACACTCAAATTTTTTTTGTTTTGTGTACATAAAAATTAGACCCTGCTAGATTTTTGAAAAAGATTTTAAAAAGCAAAGTCAGGGTCTGATCAAGGATGGAGAATAATCTGTGAAGTTCCTGTAAATTCTGAACCTGTCTTCTAATTTATTCAACCACTCTTCAAATACCTTTAAAATTTATTTCTAAAAATTTGAGACAACTGAATGGACAATCCTGTTTATATATTGAATAACAAATATTAAATATTAAGCTGGGTATTCCTTATTGTTGTCAAAAAATGGTCATCATGGAGAAATGGTTCAATCAGCAAGTACTCTCAGGTTACTTTGGTTCCACCAAACTCTCCAAATGACTAAAATGAAGAGGCTGCCCAGAACAAGTAAAACTGAAAGTTATTCTAATGAAACTTGGTAGTGTGGAGTTTGCAGGTGAGAACTTTCAGAAAAAGGTTGCATAACATCAGAGTTACTGACACGTTGCTATAGGACTGTTGTTCACTCTTATTTAGAATTTTGATAAAGCCAGAGTAAAAGGTTCCTTTTTTTTCCTGAGTTTTTCCAAATCTCACTCTGGCCTGATGATGGATAAATGGAGACTTATCGTATTTCAAAATGATCCCCAGTATCTCTTTTTAGTGGAGCCTAAAGTTGTTTGTTTTGGCCTCACAGTTGTTGTAGCTGTTACTGACTTGGGTTTTGTTGGTGTTTTGTTTTTCTTTTGTCCAGAAAGTCCCAAAATAGCCAATCCAGCTGATTGTCAAACCACTTGTTAATTAATTTTATGTTAATTAACTGTTTAGTTAACCAGTCATTCTAATTTTAATTCCTACAAACCTGCCTCAATCACTTGTAGATTTTACACATGTGATCCTGCTCAGGTCAGTAATCCATCATGTAGTATTCCTCAAATGTGAGGATCATATAATCCTTTGGTTTTCTTTCCAGTTAAACTGATCATTATTTGGCAAATTAGCACAAACTCAGTTATTCCTCAGTCCATCATGAGGCAGAAATATATAGACAAGTACTTAAGTTCTGAGAAATTACAACTTCTTTTATGTCTGATTTACTCATCTTAGACTGTCTCATCTCTTCCTGCAGTTACGGTGGAATGCTGTCAGTGTACATGAGACTCAAGTATCCAAACATTGTGGCTGGAGCTCTGGCAGCGAGCGCCCCCATCCTGTCTACTGCTGGACTGGGAGACTCTAGACAGTTTTTCCGAGACGTTACAGCTGTAAGTGTGTAGACGCTCTCATTTTTGTTTGCCCCATGTTTAATTTTAGTATCATGTGGGATTTAGGTACATGTTCAATTCATGTGCCACATTTTATGGGCTTTCAAGCACGTTTAACCCCTCAAAAATGCAATTTATTTCAGATAACGGTGAAGTCAGTATAGAAGAAAATAAATCAATTTAACAAATCCCTTTGAGCAAGCACTTAAGCAACGTGGGGTCATGCGTTTTTGTCCCCTTTTTGTCAGGAAGAAGAGTGGCCATAATAACAGATTTAGACCCTCAAAACTTAATTCCTGAACAACACATTGGCGCACACACACACACACACACACACACACACACACACACACACGTACACATACATAGACTCCTACCTCTACCACAAGAGCCAAGGATAATCAAAGAAAACAAAGAGGCCTAACAGATTTCACACAAGCAACATGTTATAACTAAAACTGGCCACTGGTGGGTGGCAGGACAACAAAAATGGAATGAAATACAATACGATACATCTGAAAAATATTTGAATGATTTGCATTATATTTGACATCCTGCCTATAGACCATAGGTTGCATATGCACAAAAATAAGGTAACATTGGTGGGTTATCCCACCAAGTTTGATCTAAAATGGGAATGTGTTCTCAAACATTAAGGTCATGTGAATTAAAAAATGTATTCGCTAACTATTTGCAAGAAAATAATTATAACACCGGTCTCACCAGTCTGAGTGAAAACAACACAGACTAGTATAAAAATGTGAGTATTGTATATTTATTAATTTTCATTTTAAAAAAAAGAACCTGAAGAAATGGGCAGGTCTTGTATGAGCAGATGCAGCTCTACTTAACTTGGATAGAAAATATTTGAATGTGTGACTTAGGGTTAGCAAGTTGTTCAACAAATTGTGTTTCCGTTTATTATAGCTCCTTCCGCCATTCTAAAAAAATCTGTCTCCAAAATTCATCGTAGTGCCCTAAAGTTTAAACAGTCGTGTCAGTCTATATGCAATGTCCTTGTGCTCTCTGGTGAAAAACCATTTTTTTTAAAAAAGTGTATACTCAGTTTTACTTAGCAGGATTATCAGAGTCATGCAGTGTTCTTGGCCTCCTGACTGTTTTTGATTGAGGAAGGTTCTGATTTGCAATGCGACAGGGGAGCACGTATTAGGTTGCACAGGACAGTACTCCACAGTCACGACACCCCAAACTGGCAACAGGAGGTGACTACTGTGACTTATTCCTTCTTTCAGGTTGATCACATCCACCTCATTGAACAGTGTACTTTCGTTTTCTTCGTTTTTTTCCCCCAAAACATTTACCAGACATTTAGGCATTGATGAACAAACTTGAACTTCAAATGTAAATGCCACTTATGTTCTTATTGGATAATAACCTTTGCTTCTCGTTCACAGGATTTTGAGAGCATTGCCCCTGAATGCAGAGATGCTGTAAGACAAGCTTTCCATCAGCTGAAAGAGTTAGCTGATCACCAAGGTACATCTCTGTGATAGTTCTCTTTGAACACATGATGGCCTTAAGTTTATATGTAGAAATGACAAAAAAAGTTCATGTTATATGACACTGTATATCCATCACATAACTATATATGGCGTTATCTATACTGTGTTGTTGAGGCAGCAGTGACTTTATGATTTGTTTCAATGGCTTCTAACGACTGACATGAACATGGTTTCACCCTTTAAAGCTGGGTGTAGCTAGTTGTATTTTTTTGCATCATTAGGGGAAAAGCCCATCCTATCTTTTCAGCATATTGTAGTTCAAGTGATCTGAGAGGGAAGTGGACTTAATGTTAGAAATCTAGCTGGTGGCAGGAGACTATGACGAATAGGTCTTTTAGCCCAGATTGGGTGTGATAGTATGAAGAGCAACAAAGTCCACATGCCAAGTAGGATGTGGTGGCTGAATAGGTAAAACAGAGAGCTTCACCCAGGAGAATGGGCCTCAAGTCCGGTGTGATGCTGAAAACTAATGTTGATTAGATTAGATTAAATTAGATTTTAGATTTTAGACTTTATTGTTCCTGTGTGGAAATTCTTTTCCACAGCACCATTCCACTTGATTTACATTAACAGGACATTACCAGGACACATATTCTACCAAACACTGTTCACTGTTGACTTTTGGCTTGACTATTTTTTCTAGATTTCCCACATACTCCGTGTTCAAGCTGAAGATATAACAGAGAAGTAACAGAGGATAAAAAATTAAAACCCATTACTGTTGTTCTGTTATAACCAGATTACAGTCGCATCCAGTCAGAATTTGCTCTGTGTAAGCCTCCATCATCTGCTAAGGACATCCACCAGCTGAATGGCCTGCTGAGAAATGCCTTCACTCTATTGGCCATGCTGGACTACCCCTACAGCACTCACTTCATGGGCAACATGCCTGCCCACCCTGTCAAGGTACAGAGGCTGAGGGACGCGATGCTTACCTTTGTCCTTTTAACTGCAAAATAGTCGTCTAAAATTGCAACATGGAATGAGAATCCACAAATATATTTGAACTCTTCTGAAAAACAAGAAAACTTGTGCTTTCTGTAGTAACCCATCCCTTGCTGTACAATCTGCAAACAAAACCAGCAGTTAACAACTGCTTTGGAATAACAGCTGTGGACTTCCAACAAGACTAAACATAAGTAATATAACTGAAAAAAGCAAGATAATGAACATAGATACTGACATCTGATGGGTGTTTGTGTAAGTCAGAAAGTAAGGAGGGATGTCAGGTGAGAATTTTTAAAGAAACTCTCGTCACTGCAATTTAAACAAGTTCATTTTCACTGTAAAATGTCCTGTTCACTACGAATCTTGGCAGCAATAACCTAATGTAAGTCTTGTTCAAGGGAAACCTTGAACATCACATTTCATCTAGTATTGATAATATTGTGTACTTCCCCCCCACTTTTTTCTTTCCTTTTTTCTCTCCCCATATGTTCTGTTATTAGACTGCTGCCACCTGGAAATACTCGTGGTATTTGTGTGTTCGGAATACTTGCTGATATGAAGGATATTATAAACATTTCACAAGATACAGTGCCTATAGAAAGTACTCACCCCTCTTGAAAGTTTACCCCTTTCATTATTTTATTTAGGCTTTTTTGACAAGAACAGATTTATACCAAATATGAAACATAAGTTATAACATAACTGTTCACCCCCTTCAGGTCAGTATTTAGTAGATGCACCTTTGGTTAAAATTACAGCATTTAGCCGGTGTGGATAGGTCTCAACCAGCCTTGAATGTCTGTACGCTGCAATTTTACCCGATTCTTCTTTGTAAAACTGTGCCAGCTCTGTCAGCCGACACAGAGATCGTTAGTGAGTGAGCAGCCTTTTTCTAGTCCAGCCACAAATTCTCTAAAACTGTTATTAAACCATTTCTGTGGAGCTTTTTGCTTTGGGTCATGTCTGGCTGGAAAACAGGTCTTCCAAGTCTGAGTTCTCTTGCAGACTGCATCAGGTTGTCCTCCATTATTTCCTTATACTTGGCTGCATTCATTTTGTCCTCTACCTTTACAAGCCCCCTGCTGAGAAGCATCCCCACATCATAGTGCTTAATGCATGATGCTTCGTAGTTGGGATGTTGAGTTTGTGATGATGTGCAGTTCAGTGCCTGCTAAACCAATTGTCTAAAGAACTAGAAGAACCTTCTTCCAGTTGTCTTCAGAGTTTGTGCATGCCTTCTGGTGAACTTTAGCTGAGATTTAATATGAGCTGTTTCAAAAGTGGCTTTCGTTTTGCTACTCTCCTATGAAACTTTGACTGGCAAAGAACTTGAGTAACAGTTGTATGCACAGCCGCTGAATCATGTAACTCCTTCAGAGGAGTCAGGTGTCTTGGTGGCCTTCTCAAGGCAGATTTACGCATGCTATATTCCTTCTTTTTGTTCATGATGGATGTAACTGTACTCAAAGAGATACTCAGTGACTTGGAAATGTTCTTGTGTCTATACCCTGACCTTTGCTTTTCAATAACCTTTTCACATAGTTGCCTGGAGTGTTCTTTTGTCTTTATGGTGTAGTTCTAGCCAGATGATTCACTAGTGACTGGACCTTCCTTATACACATTTCTTTATACTACAATCACTTGACACACATTTACTGCATTCAGATGATCTTATTTCACTAACTGTGTGACCTCTGCCACCAGCTGGCTGTACCTGTGTTGAATTAGGCCAGACAATTTAAAGGGGGAGAATACTTAGACAATTACCTATTCTACACTTTATATTTGAACTAATTGAAAATTAAAACTTGAAAAATCAGCAACTCGTTTCATTTGAACTTACACTTTTTACAAAATTGGACACAGACAGAAAATATCAAGAAAAAGATATGAAGAATTATCATAGTATGAGTCTACACACAGTAGTTTGTGCCAAATTGTTGTGCCTAGTATTTGTATTACAGCCACCTAAATAGAAAAAGTGAGTGACCCAAGTCCGATGAAATCTGTTTCAGAAACACTTTAACAACAGACGGAAGCTGATAGTGGTGTATTATATGGCTTTTGTTTTCCAGGTGGCCTGTACAACCATGCTGAGTGGCTTCAACCTGCTGGCTAACCTCAAGGACACTGCAGGTAAAGCAGAAATAAACACAGCAGCATGGGATTTTGGTTGCATCACCTGCTCTTAACAAAATGACTTCTTTTTTTTCTCCATTGTTTAATTGAGTAACAAGTAACTAAAGTCTAAAATCATGGCACTTTGTTTTAGATTGAAGGATTAGGGTTAGATTAGAGATTCAAACCAAGGACCTTGTCACTGTGGGCCGACAGTGCTAACCATTGCATCACCATGCTGCCCTGCAAATGTTGTGTTCTTCTTGAATATACTGTCAGTAGCTGTTGTCACTGTTTTTTGTTTGTTAGTTTTTTAGTTGGGATTCTGGCTCTTTACATAAGTAAAAGTACTAATAGCCCATTGTAAAAGAGAATAGCATTTCTTTTATTGTCAATGCAAATTTAGAATTGCTAGTTGGCACTCAGGTACAGGCTCTCAGAGTGAGTGAGTGTTTGGCAGAGTTCAGTTCTCTTAAGGATGGCTTAGAAGCTGTTTTTCAGTCTGTCAGGATGGCATTGGTCCTTAGGAATGTTTTCTCCTCTACTGAGGCAGTGAGAGCTGATTACATCCTCCAAAGAAGGCATACCAAGTAATTTTTTTACTCTTTACCTGCAGGGATTGTATACAACTCTACAGGGCTGCTGACTTGTTTTGACCTGTACAATCTGTACGTGGAGTGTGCTGATCCCACTGGATGTGGACTGGGTTTCAACAGCCAGGCCTGGGACTACCAGGTACTCCAACATTCACCAACTCCAACACAGCATGTAGAATTTGAGAGGATCTATTACTGGTATTTTTAAGGAGAATTCCAGGTTGGTGTCTCTGCATTAACCCTCTGAACCCTGAGCAGGTCCTGGGCATTTTTTTGCTCCTGTTACCTGTTTTACTCACTGTTGGCTCATTTTGCACTGCAAAATAAAGTCCTGTACCTTTATGGAAATGACACAACTATGGCGAGAAGGAGAGAAAACTTAGAATGTCTTCTGTGCAGTATGACACATGTACAATGACAAAAACCATAAAATAAAAAAGTTTAATTTGTTTGATCATTAATTTTACAAACATGAAAAAAAGAATTGGAACTAACATGTACATTTTTTCAAGTACCAACACAGGAAACGATAGAGGCTTTGCATACTATAAATATCTTATTGCTTCCGTAATTGTCTGTTACTTCCTCTTAGTAAACACAGCGTGCAGTTCAACTGAAAAATCCCAGAATTATTGTCATATGACTCTCAGACATAGCCCTGAGTCACTGAGCACTTTATTAGGAACAACTCTGCACCTGCTTATCATTAAAAATCCCCCATTCTTGTGCCAACAGTGCAGCATAAAATCCTGCAAGAAAAGATCAAAAGCTTTAGTTTGTGTTAAAACGATACAGATAAACCAAAAATTGGCCCAAGTGAGGGTTCTTAGTGTTTTTCGTAGCCACAGTAGATTCTCCTGTTTGTTTGGCCTTTTTAGTATCAGTCAGTGATGGTTTAAATACCACAGCCTCTCTGTTTTGTTGCTGACCATGTGCATCCCTGTGTGACCACAGTTTCTCCCTGTTAGTGACGACTACCATCATGACAGTGGTTCATGTTCCAAAGGTAAATGTGTCTTAAAGTGTCTTCATGAAGTGACAATAAATTCAGTTTACTTCAGTGTCCTACCCAGTAAGCACTGGGCAGTCTGACCAAAAGACCATATGACTTTTGATCTTGTGGGGTAGAATTATGATCAAAAAAATAGGACAGGAATTACTTTTCTTCTTATAGGTTTAGCTGACTCCATGTGATCACATTGTGCATATGGTTTCCTTGATACAAAGGATGTCACGTCAACTAATGGCTAAAGGGCTCACAAGTCTTTGCCTCCTGTTTTCGCCGGAAGTAGTGATTCATATCTCTGCTGCTTAGAGGCTTTTTGATGATTACTGTTATTCAGTTGCCTCTTGAGTGAGTCTTTTGTCTCACTGATGGGCTCAAGCTTTACTGTCTTGGTGTGCAGCTGGTGATGGTAGTATGCTATGTCATCACAAGTGGACTTTATGGTATCCTTGTTCTACTCTGCAGCATTGTTGAACTTGGTATAGTTGCACACCAATTGTCAGCCCAGGCACTCACAGAAGAGGCAGTTGAATTACATCAAGTATTGCCTCAATAATTACCTGGTAGGTAAGAAACATGAGAGGGGATGGACTTGAACTAGCTGATTAGCAACAACTTTTAAACTTTTAAAACTTTTAAAATAAAATTCTTGTGCAAGCACCCTTCAGCTGGCAAAGGCAGAAATCTAAATGGAAAAAAAAATTGTGTCTGCCCATACCAGTACTAACTTAGGCTTAGCTTTTGTACAATCAAACTGAAGAACCACCTCAATGTTCCCTTTGGTGTCTTTTCTGTCTGACAGAATATGTGGCGAAAGAAATGTCTCATTCGTCTATGTTACTTGATCTTACAAAATCCTTTAACACTACCCCTGCTTCTGTGTGCTTGCAGGCATGCACAGAGATTGAACTGTGCTATGAGAGCAACAATGTGACGGACATGTTTCCTCCCATGCCCTTCACTGAGCGAGACCGTGAAGTTTACTGCTCCAAACGCTGGGCTGTAGTTCCACGACCAGGCTGGCTCAAAATCCAGTTCTGGGCTGATGGTGAGCACTTAATACTTATAAATTCATCAAACTGACACATCACTGGCATCTAGAACTCAGGAAAATAGTATTCGATACATTAGATCAGTAAGATGTCTTTCTGTAATGAGTAGTATTTCTAGTGCTTAACATAGGGCTCAGCTAAGCCTGGGTTTTGGAAAATGCAGGCCTATCAGAGCAGAAGCTTACTTGCTTAATGAAGTTAATGAAGATCATTTCTTTGTATTTTTTCCATATATACAAAATCAGCTTTAACATAGCTTCAGTCACATAAATGAGAATAAAATGAACAGCATTGGGGTGTTGGAAACAGTAATACAAGAGCGATATGATGGTAAGATTATACCTCAAAAGGTCTATGTAGTTGGTGCATTTTGGCTTTGTATGGCAGTGTAAGATAGATGAGGCATGGCCTGTTACTATACTAAACAGGGAGTGGGGTGAGAGTGGGGTCATACACCTGAAACCACAAGTCAGTAACAAATGTGTCCACCAATTGCATCACATATCACCACGCATTTGCAGCACAGAGAATTAATGAGGTTGTTGATGCCTCTTGTGAAAGGTTGTCCAACTCTTCCTGAAGGGCTTGGGGAAGTTAGACATTTTGGGGGACAGGATTACTTTGTCGAACATCCAGAGCATCCTACAGACAATTAAAGGGTGACATGTCAGAGGACTGCAGGCCATTGGAGGACTCGAACATTTTCAGCTGTCTGAAGGACATTGAATTTTATGGTGACATGAGGACGCATTGCCTTGTTGAAATATTAAATGATTCAATTCAATTTTATTTATATAGCGCCAATTCACTACATATGTCATCTCATAGCACTTCACATAGTAAGGTAAAGACCTCACAAATTTTAAACAAAGAACAGAACCCAGCAATCCAAAGTTGCCTTTGGATTCCTTATGAGCCAGCAGTCGGTGACGGTGGGAAGGAACCAACCTTAAGAGAATTATTGGGACATCACGATAATAAGGAACTATAACAGTCCAGCCTCGAAGTTACAAATGCATTGACTAGTTTTCCAGCATCACTCTGATACCAGATGTTCCTGATTTTGACGATATTATGTAGGTGAGGGGTGCACACACAAAGTCAAAATGATCTACCTGCTATAAAAATGCAAAACATATATTTATTTATGAATATATTGAGTATTCTTTATACGTACAATATGTGTTGGTGTACCTTGCATAACTGCATGAACCCATATTGCACAAAACAACTCTGTACATTTTCTGTCATTACCTTACTCTGATGACTTGCACTGAATGGAATCAGCCAGGGATGTGTCGTCTGCTTATAGCCGACCTCAAGCACACTCATATGGTCACATAGTGATAGCATTCCCATCAGGCGTTGCCATCCATAAATCGAAAGATGTTGTTCATTTGTCATTTGAAGTCAAATGGCAAATTATTATTCGAGAAAGAACATTTTTATTTGTCTTTACATGTCTGATGGGAAACTTTGGTAAAAACAATAACAACAAAGGACTGAAATGGTAAAAATATTATGCTGTGTAGTTACAAAAAAATAAATATTGAATGGAACTGCTGAATAAAATATATGTTTATATAGAAAAATAAGAGGTCAGGAAACAGCAGGTTTAAAACTGTTAAACTGTTAGCTTGTTTTTAAAAGTTACTACAAATTAAAACTTCATTCCTGTGTATTGCCGTACCTGCATTGTTTTTGTTTATTATGAGCTCCTGTGTGTTCAGCTCTCTCCACAGCCAGCAACATTATTTTCTCCAATGGAGATCTGGACCCATGGGCCAATGGAGGGGTGAGTGCTTAAACCAAATTAGTACCTTTCAGTGAAGTCTAAAGTCTCTGATTTCACTTTGACTTAACTGACTGTCTGCTGTTCAGGTGCGCAAGTCCTTGAGCTCATCACTGGTAGCTCTCAACATTTCTGAAGGAGCCCATCATCTGGACCTGAGGTACAGCAAACTGTTGACCCTTAAAGAGTTGTTCTTAACCTTTCCTGTACACTAACAAACAAAATCGAATATGACTTTTTCTGTGGTTGTTTTATGCAGGGAATCTAATGAGGCTGATCCAGTGTCAGTAATCAGAGCCAGGAAGACAGAGGCAGAGCTCATCTCGCAGTGGGTGAAGATGGAGAGGACCAGAATACAAAAGTTATCTTAAGGCACAGGTCCAAACTTTGTTTTACGACTGGGATTATGTAAAACCAGTTGACATAATAAATATGAAAAAGTGAGTTTTTTAAGCTTGATTACCTACGATCATCATGTATAAGTGCTTTTAGACATCTCCCCATTCATCGGCAGTGGTGGAGCTTTTCGTCTTCGCTGCATTGTGGACTTTGATCATTGTAACCCGATGTAGCGGGGTTTCACTTCCTGGTCCGAGGATACAATACACTCGGGACCTTCTGCTACAATAGAATATACCAAATCTGCTGACTCAATCAATCAATCAATCAAACTTTATTTGTATAGCACTTTTCATACAAAGAAAGCAACACAAAGTGTTTTACAACCATTAAAAACATTAAAAACAAGAAAACCCGTCCCTCCCACCCTCCATATATATATATATACATATATACACACAACCATGTATGCACACACACACACACGCACACACACAACCACACACTCTCACCACTGACAGTAGAGAGACATGTCATGGCACTGAGGATTGTGGGAAATGTTACCGTTGGGGGCGTCTGCACTGGGAGGAGCAGCAAGACTTATTGAGCATTTTCACTTGAGTCCTAATCTAGTGGTGGGATTTTAGATTTTTTAACAGTCAGAACAGAGAGGGAAAGTAAATGGCGTTTTCTTTAGTCTTTTCGTAGTCTTTATGCTCCTGGTTCACCGCAGGCCTGTGTCCTCTAATCCTTACTTTTTATCTGTATTCAATATGTACCAAAGCAAACATGATAACAGGCCTGTTCTGAAATTTGCAGATGATACAGTTATTGTGAGTTTAATACACAACGAGTCCGGCCATGGCCCAGTTATTGATGATTTCATCAGTTTGTGTGATGCTTCTTTTTTCGTGCTAAATGTATCCAAAACAAAGGATATGATTATTGATTTTAGAAATCAGGCTCTTACTCATGATTTTAATGATTCTACGATCATCAAAGGCCAGCCTGTGGATTGCGTTGAAAATTCTAGGTATCTTGGAGCATTTATTGACTCAAAACTTACCTTTAATAAGCACTGCGAGGAAACCTGTAAAAAAGGACATCGTTTTAACCGAGCCTTTGTTGAATCTGTGTTGTCCTTTTCACTTTGTGTCTTGTTTTGGCAATCTGGCCCTAAAAGACAAAACTCTCTCAACCAGATCATAAAGTCGGCCAGTAGGCTTATAGGTAAATCACAACTTAGCCTCTCGGACTTTTTCTCCACACAGCTTCAGAGCAAGGCCAAGGATATTCTTGTGGATGGTTCGCATTATTTACATAACGAATTCCAGCTTCATCGTTCTGGCCGTCGGTATGTGGTCCCCAAGGGTAGAACCAAGGGATACAGAGACAGTTTTGTACCTGCAGCAATTGCGCTGCTGAATAAAATTGGTACGAGGGACGCACCTCGTGTGCAGCTGTTTAAGTATCTCAGGCTCCTGTGGGAGGACGGGGTGCATGGGGGGGTCGATACAACACTTGACGAGGCTGTATTGTAACGTATTGTATTAGGCCTGATTGTGAGTGTCTGTTGGTTGAATTGTAATGTTCTCTTTTCAATTCATGTTGTGTTGCTTTCTGTTTTTTTTTCTGGATTGCTGTGCCTTGTCTGCACAAAAAAATGTACCCCTTGGGTACCAATAAAGAAACCTCAGTCTTTTATCTCAAAGCATTTTTATTGATTTCATAATGTCCCTTTTTATGACAGCAAGGTTTATTTACATCAGCAGCCGATTGTCAAGTTATTGAGAAAGGCTTTGACATTGTTGTTGCATGAGCTAACAAATGCTAACTGGTTAAATCTGGTAGTAGTTGTTGAATTACTAGTTTAGGAGGCAGGGAGGGTCCTTAGCCAGTCACTTTAGCTCTCCTAGTCGTCATTTCAAGCTCTTTTCAGATATGAGATACGCAACATGGCTGCTTCATCAGTCTGTTGAAGTAATGGCATTTTGTCATTAAGACACAGGTCAGGTTCATGTTAATGCTGCTCACAGCTTTACTTAGAGGTACTCACCACAGTGACAGAGGTTACTGTAGCAGATACCTGATGTTTGTCATTCAAATAAGACTGGACAGAACATCAAGTGATTTATAATACAGAATTGTGCAATAAGAACCAAAGCACTTAATGTAACTAATAGTAGCTTATCAAACTGCAAATAACTGCTGCATAACAAATGATTTAACTTCAGCTGGTAAACTCAGTGACAGCTTACCTGTCTGAGGTGAAGAAAAGTACACAGTGTGACCTAGTGTTATAATCCTTATTGATCCTTTTCTCTGTCTAAAGTAATTTTAGTAATTTTAAGTAATTAATGCAGTTACTGCTGTTGTTGCATGTGTTGAACATTGGTGGAAATTGTGCAATGAAGTAAAAGAATATTTTGGAAAAAGATTGTAAGAATAGCCTTTTCCTGTCACATTGTCTGGTGAAGTACCCTCGTACTTATTAAACTCAGAGGAAAGACAGTCACAAACAGCTGGAAGCAGCAAACAGCATTTCCATTCCTGTTCATGTTTTGTCCTGTTCTGTCTACATCATGTTAAGGATGTACTTTTATGGACATTTGTGTTTGCAAAATAAATCAGAAAGGTGTTTTGTGATTTTACTGAAGTTTTTGGACCAATATTGTTGCTGAAATGTGGAAAGTCTTTCCCATATCACTTCACATAACTTTAAAATACGTCATTGTGCATGCCTGTCTGCGTGCAGTTTAGACCTGTGCCATGTTGACAGTCGTCTGACTGACTGGATGTAGGGCTAACCACTGCTCATTTCACATGGCTTTGTCCTTACCTTACGCTATCTGGATGTTGCCATTTTCTTAGCCGCAGAAAACAACAGCCATGTTTGTGCAGCAACCTGCCACAATACAAATTTTAACTTTTACTATGGACTTGAATAAGCTGCATTTTTTGCTTAGCACCATCCACAATGACTGTGATTGGTTAAAGGAAATGCAAACAAGCTGGATCGTCTGCATATAGCAGAATGATAGTGTGTCAGACCATAATGTAGTAAAGAATGGTCTAGAAAAGCAAGACCATGTTGAAAGTGATAAGGAAATGTAACTAGGTCCAACAGGTTACATGACTCATTTAGAAAAGTGAGCAGAGTACTCTTTCACAACAGAAAGGAGTGCATGTCTGAAAGGGGCATCATTTTCCTTTGCTTTGATCCTGTGGCACTGATCAGTGCAAAACCTGTGAATTCAGTATTTTGCAACTTGAAGGTACAATTAAAAGCAGACAATTCTCTTAATTTCAGCATTATGACACTTGTCACTTGTGATTAGGATGTCAGTCTTCTACTACTTTCCCTTGAAGTGAGCCAAAAATAAAACTACTGAAACTACTGCAGGAGTCTGTGTGCATGTCGAAGCCATTGACTCCTGATTGGCCAGTGACAGATTTCATCCTTATCACTCTGCCTTCTCAGTCCTCTCAATGTCTACTTTTGGCACAACCCCTGCCTTGTAATTGACCTCATCTTTGTGACCTCTCCCCTCCCTCCAGGATTCACTTCATAGAAAGTGAAAAGAAGGGTGGTTCTACTGAACTCAGTGTGTTCAGTCTGGTCATGTCTAGATTTATCTTGTTTAATGAGTCAAAGATTGACACAAATGTTGTTTGTGTTCAATAAAACATCTTTATTGTTTTATTTTTTGAGGTGAAGCTGTTTCATCACTTACATGAGGTGACATCAACATATTTTTCCATGTGTAGGAATTTAATAGATTTAAAGCAACATGAAACTTATATTCCACTCCAGTAAGAAATAAGACGTGTTGGGTTTGACAAGAGACAAGTAAAACAACAAAACAACGGTGTTTGTGATTTCTATTGTGGTATGTCACAGCCTCAGGCAACAGAGCTAAAGATGCTCCAGCAAAGACCTAATTTGGAAGCATTTGACAGGGCTCATGAGGCATTATAGGCACTGATTTGGATTAACCAGATAACACCAGCTACTGTAAGAGGGAGCACTTGGAACTTCTGATGCAGAGCACTGATGAGGACCATACAGACTTCTCAAGTCTGTCTAAATAGTTGCAGGTAGCTGCTGTTTTGTCACAGCTGCAGGCATCTGTGTGAAGCCTTTTGATTAAAAGCACGCTGCTTTGTTGCTGCAGCTAAAAATAGAAATTAAATCAGTCATTAGTTATTGTAGTTTAAAAATACTCCAAATCCATAATAGTGAAATTCTTAATAAAAAGCGCTGAAAAAAAGCTCCTGAAAGAGGTGGATTTGGAGAAATGGCTTTTCATCGTTAACTCCTCCAGAAAAATTCAAACGGCAAGGTCCATTATATTTTCAGCATATCTTTGTTTCTGGAATTATGCTGAAACACATCCAGGGTGGGATCACAGAGTCCTTGTAGGCAGGATTGAAATACACACACTAGTAGAGTTTAACACTACGTAAACTTTATGGTTGCTTTGAGGGACTGGTGGAAAAATATCAATCATTATTTCATTGTTCTGCAGTTAAAATAAATATGCAGTAATGATGATGACATTCTGTAGGAATCATTTTCACATGTAAACAACAACAACAACAAAAAAGGTAAAATTGACATCAACAGAACGTGTTTTGAATGTTGTCTGAAGCAACGTTGAAAAGGCACAGGTGAGCCAACAGAAAAAAAAAATACACTGAATATCCAAGATGAATTTGGTTTGGATACAAATCTAGAAAGTTCTTAAAATCAACTACAAGAAAACCTATTATGGAAACTGTTGTTAATTACAGGAATGACAGCAAGTTGCTACGACCGTTAAATACATACAATCTCACTATTTATCTCTATCACTTGAAAGAAAACCAAACACAATTTACACATAAGAGAAAAGAAAAAAAGAAAAAAAGAAAATTTGAACTGAAAACAGCAGCTATTCACACCCCAAATAAAAACACTGATGCTTGGAGCCAAATGCTGCCAACAGAAAGCAAAACTTTCACATTTCTCCAGTAAATCTGTTGCTTCAGGAATGAGACCAAGGTCATGTGATCCCGAAGAAAAGTTGCATTTATGCCACGAAGAAAGAATAAGAGGAATAGTAGCTGTTTGTCCACAGGATTTATCAGGAACATATTCCTCACAGCAGAGATGTGTTCACATTGTGCAATATGATCAGCATCTTATCAGACTGGTCTTTTCTCTCAAAGCAGGTGACTGCTGGAGCTGCCCGGTGAGTTCAGCTTCACGCAACAGCTCTGCAGGAACTTACACCTAAAACCCAATTGCTAAATATTTATGCATTTGAATCCACTTCAGTGTTCTGAAATAATGCATGAATTCAAAGACAGTATGGATGAAATCAAACAGTACTGTCGGTGCTCCACTAATCTACCAACAAATTCATTACAAAAAGTGTCACACCTACATATTTATTGCGTCCAAATGTCTCTCAAGTTCTCCCAGTGCTAGCATCATATAGATGTCACAATCAAGGGCATTTCTGCCATCACAATGCAGTTCCATTGTGGTGGTTCATTAAGCTAAACTTGAGCCAATCTGTGTCTCCTCCCCATAAAAAGAAACAAATGACCACGATGCCATCATCAGTGAGTGCACATAAATTGAAAGGGGTTTTAAGTGCTCCTGCAATGCTTGTTACGCTCCTCAGAAGTCCCATTATGGAAACATATCAAGCACCATATAGGATGGCTCCTCAATCTCCTACATTGTGTCAAAACTGAGACCCTTTGATCATTTGGGGGAAGAGAAGGAAGTTGCCGGCAGACACATCTGACAAGTTTAGCAGGTAAAAAGCAAATATTGTGTTGTGGCAAAAAATCCTGTGTTTATTCACCACTGTGACCAGGTGCACTGTATATTAGAGCAACCACAGGCCGTCACGTTGCAGTTCAGATTGTTTGTGATGAATGTTCCCCCTCAGACGCCTCAGGACGTCACAGTGAAACTCTGCCACGACACTCTGACGATGAGGGATGAGTTCACAGTGCACAACCACGTGAATGTTGAAGTAAGTATGCTCCTTCTCCGGTCATGGAGACTGTGGCTCTTTCACTGCAAAAACTGCAATTTGGCCTTTGAGTCAAAGTCACAGATGGATCTCTCATCTCCAGTGATGATTGTCTACTTACAGGTTGGATCATCCTGGCTGCTGACCGAAGCAGAGAGCAAACAAAGCATTTTGTGTCAGAGGTCCATGAAGAATGTAATGTACACCTGCCACTGGTACAAAAACATGTGGACCACAGGCCTGGTTGTTGATAGTGTGGCGTCATGACACTTTACAATTACTGCTCACACAGATTCTACCTGTATGACGGGGACGTGCTCCACAACTTTTTGTTCAGCCCTTGTATGATCCACCCATCTTGCTTGGTTTTCCCTGAACTACATTCAATGTATAAAAAAATAATAATCTGCAGTTACTTTGACGCATTGGTTGCGATATAAAAATAGTGGAAATGCTGACTGGTCCACTCAGTGACACCCTGCTTCCACAGTTCTACAGCAGAACCAGGACTTTTCGGATGGAAAATCACAGCAAAAAGTACACAGATTTTAAGTACCATAAAGCTACTTTGGGGGAAAACAAAGGGAAAAGGGTGCATGTTAAAGACTTAAAAGGAGCCTGCTCATTGACTCGCAACATTACACATAATGACAATAAATTAGAGCTAGCTCAGTGTGCTAAATGGTTGTGTTCATGACTCAAGGTGGAATTTGGCATTACTTGAGTATTTGTAGTGTGCCACCTTACACCTACTTCAGTTTGTCATTAGGTACTTTTCAAACATCATATTAAATCATTTGCTAAGAAACTAGCAGGCCATTAGGGCACTTTGGGGTTGCAAATGATCCATTCATTTGACATATCATTCCCCCTCTCACCCCAACTGATGATGCCTACCCTTACATTTGAACCCTCTGAGCCCAATAACATGCCCACACAGTTTTGTTGAGAAATTAACCAAGTCTAAACTTGGAATCACGTTACTCTACAGGTCACATTTGTTCAAAAAAATGCCAAAAATTCAACTGTTGGCACCAGATCCAGAATTATATCATAATATTTGACAGAAAAAAGTCAAATATAAGGAGCAACATATAGCATGTAAAGCCACAGTTTTTCCCCAGTATCGGGAACCTGTGGGCTCTTGGAAAAATGCTTAACATGTTGATTTTTTATTTTTTTTGTCAAATTAAACATCAAAGAAATTAAAGTTTTTTTGGTTTGTTTTCTTTCTTTCTTTTTTTTTAAACTGTAATGCTGCACAGCAGACATTTCTGAGTTCTCTCTACGTCTAGCCATGGCTGTGCAGGACTTTGTATTTCAGTAAAAATAAGGCCACAGTGAGGAAAACCATGACAGGGGCAACAAGAGGAGTAATAAATTTAGCCAATAAAGCATCTATACTTGACCTCAAGTACAGAACACTGCTTCTGCTACTGACAAGAAGTATGAGGAGAAGTTGTCTGACAAGTTGACTAAAGCCCCTTTCAAATGTGGGACATGGAACATTGCTGGGTTCGTCAATCCATTAAAGTGACAGCATTTCGTCACTTTAAGGCCCTTTTAGACATAGGTCACAGGGTTTTCTGTTCATGTTCCTCATGGCTGCATTCACAAATATCCACCACACTGTCAGTTGTCACTCACGCAAAACTAGTCAATACACCAAGTGAGGTACAATGCACAACAATGAACAGACTAAAACTAAACGTATAGCAGCTAATTAAAGTGTCTAAATAACTACCAGCCCAGTTTACCCTGAATTCTTAAACAGTGAAACAAAGCTCAGGACTCAACCTGAGGACAGTTGCTATGTGACAAAATATGAAACTGCAGCTTATAAGATGTGAATCTGTGTCACAGCTCATCTGTCTGAGGTGAAGAAATGTTCACAGCTGCTATTAGATCCTGATCGTCCCTTCCTCCAAGTCGGGATCATTTACAGTTGAACCTATTGAAGTTCTACTATTGCGCCGTGCGTAAATGCGCACAGCTCTCTCTCTCTCTCTCTCTCTCTCTCTCTTTGGAGACATTTGTGGAATTTACCTCTGTCTAATGCTACAGGTTTGTAATAAACGATGAAGAATTAGTCCTAAACAGCTGGAAGCTAAACTGTCATTCTGTGTGTTACAGCTCACCTGCCTGAGGTGAAGACACGTCACCTGTTGGGTCCTGGCTCATACTGATCAGCTTTCCATGATCTCTTGGGGTGAATTTATAATTAAAAGAATCTATTCAAGTTAAATTATGTGAGCAACTCTCTCTCTCTGGAGACACTAGTATGCTGCAGGTATTATACAAACTCAGAGCCAATAGCTCCAAACAGCTGGAAGAAACAAACTTCAGCTCCTCTGTGGAGAAAAACCTCTGGATTACATTCATCATCGGTGACTATTGTTATTCTTTAGACTGTTAATGTCTGTTTTCATCTCATTAAGGTTTCATTATTAATACCATCCCATTTCGTTGTCTAACAGATTTGAAACTGTAAAGCAAAGTGTGTGAAAAAAATTGTGCTGTGATTGTGTATTAAGTGTTTCTGATGTTTTCAAACGAATATTGATGCTTCCTCAAATCACTTGACACAACTCAAAGTACTGCTGCTTGTGTTTGTATATCCATTAGTATGACAGTTCAGTTCACACTTGTGCCATATTAAAAGTTATATGGAAGTGTTACTAGGTCCAACCTAGTGACCTAGTAAGATTGGTGGCCCAACTTTTATGGATGAGCAACCAGGGTGCACATTCAGACATGCAGCCAACCCATTGAGTTGCTGTCATTGTAATAGAATAGAGAGCATGTGTGAAAGGGGTAGAACTGATATCTGTATACGTCATCATGTCTCCCAGCCCGACAACAAATGTCTCTGGAGCTACTAACACTGTCACTGAACTCTTCTGGTCAGTAATCATGTTGCACCGTGAGCACTTTACAAGCAAACTTTTCTCCTTGACCCCAAGTGACGAATAAATATGAACTTGTTGGAAGGGCACATTTCCTAAAGGACATGAATGCAGCATAGGGCAGCCAACTCATGGACTAAGGGATCGCTTATGTCCTGTCAAAAAGCTTCAGCTTGATTCCCTGGTTGCAATCAGAGAAGAGAGGGCATCTGAGAAGAGTGTTAGCAACAGCACTTGATAATTATCAAGTACTACACAGAGTGATGAGGAATTAGCCTCACGCTCTTCCAAGTGTAACAGTGAAGAGCGGTCAGGCTGCAGATGGGCTTGTTTTCAGTCCAGACGGCTGGCAACTGCTATCAGGAAAGGTGGTGCTACAAAGGCAGCCAGCCTGCCGTCACTCCCACTCACTTCCAGTCATTCCCTGCAAGACTCAGAGCTCCAGGGCAGATACTGGCTTTGCTTTATAATAGGTTAAATGCTGTTTGTCAAGTCAAACCATTCCAAGGTACAAAATACGAAGACATGGAAGTTGTTCTGGGAACTTTTTTCTGACATAAAAGTGGTCATTTTAGATAAAAAACTCAATGTTGTCCAGCTGTAGCCAAAAATAAGGTCAGCTTAAAACTGAAGATATCAGCATCTGTTTTGATACATCTGTATCAGTCTGAACAGACACTCCTCATCTTCTCTACATGTAATTAAGACAGCTTATATTCAAGTCATGATCAGGTCTTTCTTCAGTGTTGATGCCAACTGGGTGTTCATGAGACTAGAAACGTTCCTCTGCTTTTCCAGCATCAAAACTGTCACTACTAGAAGTCCATGCCATGAAAACGGCCAAATAGCCGACTTAGCCACAAACTCAAAATGACTTTTCAGTGGCTATCCACGAATACAATGACTGAATCGGTGGAAAGCAGGCTTCTCCATCTGTGGTCTGTGTGCAATGGCACTGTTCTGACAACATTCCAGCACTGACACAGAAGACAAAGGAATTATCTTGGTTTTAGATCAACCCTGAGAGATTTGTTGTGTTATACTGTCTGCAAGTTTACATGTCACGCACTGGAAGGCCATACTGGCAGGGGATGAGCTTCAGTGTTGAAGACATACTGGTCTAAGCTAATGAGGTTGGGATTGTCTGAGAAGAGCAGGTACAGATATTTCAGGGTCTCTCCCAGGAAGAAGCTCTCCATCTTGTCTCGGGGACTTGGGTACTCTGGGTCCCGCACATTGTTAATGGAGGTGTAGCCGCCAGAGGAAACCTGAGTGGAAAGACACATTTGTCCACATTTACAATGTTTCCTGATCTAATTACAATTACTGTTACAATAAAGTACTACTTCCTGAAAACTAGGTTTGGTCATTGAGAACCGATTCTTTTTTGGAACTTGTTCCAAAATTGTGATTAGAAAGAAATCATTTAGTAAGTTTAATTTTGATTCTGCTTATTGGTTCCCAAACAAATTTCACTTGTCTTTCTTTGCAGTGTACTACTACTGCAAACACCTACTGTATATCTACTGCTGTTCATCTGCGTAATTAGTCATGCAAGCTGAATGCCTGCTCATCTTTCCTTCTCCTAATGCATTTGTCCTAATAAATTATGAGTCTGCATTTTTTCAGTTAGCCGACTCAGCCATTGCTTGATTTGTTGCCAGCTGCTTGATTAGCAGTTAAACAGCACAAACTCTCTGCTGTTTAACTGCATTTGTTAAAATTTTGTGACTGTCTTGTAACTAATGGTAGTCACAACTGCTGCAAAATGCTTTACAAGGACATAACTCTTTTCGTTACAGTAAAATAGCTGAAGTAAACACAAAGAAAAGTAAAGAAAAGCGACTACTGTCGCTATGGTTACTTTATTCAGTGTAGAAGTGTTTTACACCACTCTTCTGTGAAGAATGAAGGAGGATGCTTTAGTAACATAACATGAATTCTTTACTTCTGTGACAGCAACACACTGTGAAAGTCCTGCATTGAAAATGTTACTTAATGTAAGAGTGTCTAACTATAATCAGGAAACTGTACAACAGCATTAAAAGTACTTAAAGCATGGGTGCCCGTATAGCTCACCTGGTTGAGCGGGTGACCCATGAACAGGGACTACAGTCCCCAACGCAGCAGTTGTGAGTTTGAATCCCGCTCATGACCCTTTGCTGCAGGTCTCTCCCTCACTCTTCTCCCCCCTTTCCTGTCTCTCTATACTGCACTAAATAAAGGCAAAAGCCCAAAAGTACTTAAAAGCAGAAGAGTGACTGTTTTATTGTAACATTACATCATATTTTTGTTACTTATGCATTAATGTAAACAAAGGATTTATCCATTGTAGTAACCCTTACCACCTGCCCAATCTTACCTCATGCTAGAGGCTAACCGGTACACACATCACACACTCTCCTTACTTTTTAAAAAATATATACCTTGACTGCGGTTTATTTAGCCTGTAGCTATGTGACATGAGTTTATGACAAACCTGACTTTTTCATGTTAACAACCTTTATATGTGAGTATTTGTTATGACTTAGTCCTACAGAAGCCCCCCTAAGACATTGATCCTCACCTAATTTCCTTTGGGATTAATTAGGGTTCAATTTATCTTATTTTATCTTATTAATTTAATCCATACAGTTATTGCAGACCAGCATATATTTCACTGACCTTAGTGTACTTGTCAAAGTTTTGGAAAATCTCCCAGCCCCACTCCCGGTACTTGTGATCCTTTGTGAACCTGTGCAAGTAGAAGAGACTCTCCACTGTCTCTGGTCGCAGGAGGTTGTGTCGGTCTGCAAGCTGTTACAGAGAAAACAAAGGAGACACAAACAGTAAAGTAAGAAAAACATCTCATATTACCATCTGCTTAACGAACACCCTCCTCCCTAACCTTTGCAGGATCCTTTGCAGTGACATTCCACTATTTTAAACATTCTCACACAATTGCAGTGGCCTCCAAGAATAGCACAAGCATAAGTGTCATGTACAACACTAGACATGAAAGTGTGGTACCAAATGATGTGACAATACAGTTCAAAAAGTATATGGACATCCAACGGAAGCTGCCAACACATAGAACACAGAAGCTCTGATTACAACACACACACAGGGAGTGTGAATTCATTCTCTGCTGTACAGGTGCATTTCATATAATTTTAATAAAAATTTTTTCTTTTTTTTTTCATCATACATTACATCACAGTTAAAACAAACAAGGGCTTGAAATATTCCAGTTTATGTGTAATGAGTATAGAATATATACAATTTTCTATTTAAACATTGTCTGATGAAAAATATAGAGCATCAAAGGAGATGGATGCACTTGTAGATGTTGTTACTCCACTTTATCTTTACATAGCAAACACTTGTCTGCTGCTACATTACTGGTCTCATATTTAGTTACATCTCATATATAGAACCTTGAGCCACCATTAATTCCACTTTTCCTTCCTCTGCTGTGACAAGTCAAAATGTTTGCCTTTCTAGATTTCACTTACAGTTACAGGTGGAGAGAGTGGAGAGCTTCAAGTACCTGGGTGTTAACATTACACAGGACCGGACATGGTCTTGGCACATCAACACCCTGATGAAGAAAGCGCAACAGCGCCTCTACCACCTCAGACGCCTGAGGGACTTTAAGCTCCCTCTCAAGTTGCTCAGGTACTTTAACACCTGCACCATTGACAATGTTTTGGCTGGGAGCATCACCACCTGGATGGACAGCAGCCCACAAACAATGCAGGTTACAAGCCAGGAAGATTGTGAGTGAGCCCACCCACCCCAGCCACAGACTGCTCTCTCTGCTGCTGTCAAGGCAGCGTTACCGCTGCCTGAAGGCAAACGCAGAGAGGATGAGGAGGAGCTTCTTCCTTCAGGCTGTCTGCCTGCTAAACCTGA